AATTTTTTCCAACCAGTGTGAACTTGTCAACTGGATATGTGCTGAGGCTGTATAGCGAAACTCTTTGTGCTTTGTGAAGAAAGGAGATTTATGCATGAATTATTAGTGAGATGATAGAAGCAAAGAAGATTGTTTTCATCTTGTTCAAACCAGTAATTTTTATACTGTGAACGTTTCTAGGTGTCTAAGAATTGTACAACAGTAGCTGGTTCTGTATAATTGCAATACATAGCGGGAAGTTTTTATACAAAAGTGTTAGGTGCACCCTACAAAAGTATTAGCACACTAAGAGCTTCTCTCTATTATGTGAGGCGGTAAGTAAGACAATTACTGAGAAGTGAATACTTTACGGGTTAGATAAGACGTCAATGAACCGAAGTAAAACAAGTCCTTTAAAGCATGGTTACTGGTTCCTGCTCACCAGCAAGGACGACAAAGTGGCTTCCTCTGACCTCAATTTTCATACTTTCCATGATTCCGTTGGTCATACAGTGTTTCACTTGAGCGGCCAAGAAGAGGAAATAAAAACATGAAAGCTGACATATTCCAGGTGTAGCAAGCCATTGCCATTCGTTGAAAAAGATTCCCCCCGCGAAATTTCAGCTGGATAAGCTTTGCCTTCCACTCTTCTTTTGTCCTCTCATCGCCTCATAATATCAAGGGGATCGTTTCATTTTGCTTAACCATCTCCTGCCTGCAACTCTTCACCATTACTAACTCGCCGAGCCATCTTTAGGTTTGAAACTCCACCCTCATCTTATTGGTGTAACTCTTCTACAACTTCTGCCAGGTTGATATGTGCTGACAGTCCAGTAACTTTGAGCAGTTTCAGCAGTTCACACATTGTGCTTGAAAATGTCTTCATCATAACTCGTCCACAGAATATCAAGCTGCATTGAAAAGTTCAAACAGGTAATGAGAATTGTTGACGGCGAACGAAAAGGCTGGTAGAATGGACCACAAAAGGTTGCAAACATCTTAGTTGGACGGCTTCCTGGAGCATGTGAGGACGTGTTTGTTGCTAATATCAATCAGCTGCATTTGAAGTTGCGGAAATCTTCTAGGTCGTGGGATAATACTTGAACACTTCGCCATAGTTGAAAGGCTACAAGCGTGCTCGGCGAGGAATTGTAAACGAATGGAAACTGCTATCGCTCTCTCTAAGTGTGGTCGCCTATACATTCTACAGAAAAGGTAGGTAAAAGTACGAAGCATCGTTTAATGCCCACGTTCTGAATCTTGTAGGCTTTTAAATGAAAACCTCTCGAATGAGAAAAAGGTGTCTGCGTAAGGAACCGTTAATTTATGAAGAGGATGTCCAGGAACAATAGGAGTGAGAGTTCTTGAATTTAGACTTTTACACAGTCCGAGGCAAATGTAGAGGGAAGAAGGACCATTTTCCAGACACCATGTTACACAAAGAGATATGCTGGGTGAAATTTCGACATGCAAGGAAAAACTACACATTTTTCTATTCCGTTCCACTCCGTTTAGATACAAAGTGCATTATAATAGACATGTGTATACACATGTATATGTATGTTTATTATATGCATGTATATATGTGTATATATACATATATATGTACATGTGTGTATACCAGAGCTCGTAATTCGTTCGATAATAATAGAGTGAGCTATGAAACTATTTTAATTTTGGCAGCATCTAATTTACACACGTTTTGATACTACTTACCTTCCAAAGATTTGTAGAGAGTGGATCCTCAAACGACATCCACATAGTTTCCTGCACCCTTGCTTCATCGTTAGCCAGCATGAATGTCATGCCTAAAGGTTATCCGATCATTTTTGTCCGTAATTTTTATTAAACGTAAGTGTTAACTTGAACTACTTCACTAGTTAAAAATGACTATTCAGTGATGGCTAAGAGCGGATAAGTAGGAATTCTATCGCCAACTTACAATTAATGAACGTAATGCTATCATCTCTTCCTCTCTTCTCTACATTATATCGTAACGATGCATCTATAGTTGACCTTTTAGTTCCTGTTTTTCTGAGCTTTTATAACAACTTTCTTATTGTGCACTTGATTTTGTACGTTCAATTGTTTTATTTCGGCTACTTACTGACTGGTACAAAGTTAACCAGTATGGCATATTGATCTTTGATTTTCGACAAGTATTTGTTCTTTTCGGAAATATTAGGTTAATTCGCTCGTTTTCCTTCATATCAAGTAGCATTAAAGGTGTGCCCATTCGGCGGGGTTGGTGGGAGATGACTCCTGAGCAGGTACGTGCGATGGGCGCGAAGGCGGATGAGGAGCGTCGTCGCTTGAAGAATAACACCTTGCAGCCACTGCAGAACACCTCTGTTCCTCAACCGCATATTCAATCAGTCCAGCACCAACCACCTAGCATTCTCCATAAAGGTAAACCAAAGCGCTTTAATTAAACAATAAAGCATCCTACAATTTTATGGTTACATAAATTGCTTCTACATTAGTTTGCACATTCCTGCTATAATAGTGAGCTAAAATATTCGTTCTACTGCTCATCAGTGGTAGAACGCAGCGTGTAGAATTTGAATCGTGATGATTTCAATGCAAGCAGTTTAAACGATAGTTATCATTCTAGAGATAATTAGGGGCGCATGTGGCGCAGTGGGCGAGGACACCTTGCGACACACACATGGGATAGATCCCCGCGCTCGTGGCTCACCAAGCCTTCTATCCCTCCGGGGTCGTCAAATTGGTACCAGACTTGTCTGGTAAGATAGCAGCACTGGCTCAATATATCGGTAAGCCATCGCGAGTCATTGTAAAGGCCAGATATGCATTCAATCGCCCCCAACGACACTTAATGAAGTCGAATCCGTGGCGCATCCCACAGGGATTGGTTATCGCCGAGAGCTTTTATCCTTTCCAGGGTTAATAAGAGATATGTTGCAATGACTGAGATAGGCTGAGATCTTATTGATGAGGTCTATGCCATTCATATCTCCAATGATGATGTATTAAAATTTATTTTTAGTTTGTGGGAAATCCATTCAATGTTTCTGGTTTAGTTACGAGTGATGGAACTGCGCTTGTTCCTGAAAAGATCTATCGTAATCACGCTGATGCACCAATAAGGAAGCTAACATGTGATCTCATTAAGACTTACAAGAATATAAACGAGGTGCTTAATTGTTCTCTCATTTATGCTTTTTTTTTTCCTTTTTCTTTCTCAGACAACCTTAACATTCATCTACATGAAATCCTCCACTTGACAAGATTGGAAGATTTTTCTTCTATTTTAATTTGGCACTAGTGTAAGGTCCAAGTGTACTGCTTTAGCCATTGCATTAAAGAAAAGTTGTTAATTTAGAGAGCTAAAGAGAGAGTTAAATTGAAGATAGAGGGTATCAGTGCTTAAATAGAGCAAGAAATGCGGGCAGTTGTGACAATGAACATTTAGTGTGGTAGGTGTTAGTGATAGAAAAAAGTAATATTTTTTACTTTTAAGGGTTCATTTTAGTTATTTGGTTGATCTACGTATAATGGTGACTAAAACAGCGGATTTTAGAAGATTTAATAACTTACTGGGCAAACATACGCCACTTTATCCCATAGAGTCCACTATGGAAACAGTAAAGTTCACCTCACGCGTTTTGATCAGGGTATGGTGCGAACACTATAGTAATTCTTCGTATTCTTGTTGAGCAAACGCGAGGTCATTGCGCTCCCATGTGAATTCTGTGTGGTTGGTATCCATGCGACATACTCAGTGGAAAACTCATAGAAAACGGCTCTGAGGAAGGCGAAATCCGCCGAAACGTCAGCTTATTCGTGAATAAAGAATAAAATAACAGCTCGTATTTGCTCAACAAGAATACGAAGAATTACTTGATCAATGCCGAGGTTAATAGAAAGTCGGTCGTGGAACACTATAGTGTCCATCTTCAGTAAAGTCTTTTCCAGAATTCCTTTTTACCGAACTATGTACGTCCATTCGATAGATATTAGAAAGCACGTCGAAGTAGTAGGGATGGGTCCAGTAAATCATTCTCTACATTTCGGGATTTTCAAAAAATCTTTTTGCAAAAGCTCGTTTACCGGTATATAAAATTATCAGAATAGAATTTCAACCCTTTTATTTACTGCCTTTTTCTTTTTAATGGCAGGGTATGTTGCGAAATATAACTCGTATATAATGTTGAGATATTTGCAAAACTCCGGACCGCAGGTGTATGCGGTGGGGAACGAACTCGCGTTGTTGTCCTTACCGGGGAGCAGCGCACTTCATCACCACGCCATCCGGGTCAACATATATACGGATATAAATATATATATATTGTATATATGGTGAGTGAACACCTTCAGATGATCTGCGATTTTCACGCTTATCTTACTACTGCGTTGGTACATATGAAATGTCCGGGACCCTATTTTCAGTACTCGTATTGGAAACATTTCATCTGTGCATAGGAATTTAGAGTGCATTCTGTCAACATTAATTCCTCATTTTTAAGTCGTTTTATTTGCGAAAAGCACTTCGACGGCAGGAACATCAAACCAATATTCAGACTAACCATAACTCATCATCAACAGCAGCCATCAATAACCAGGTAGTTTTTTGCCATTTATATGGAGAATCGTGAAATTGCTATGCGATTCACCCTGCTCTGTAAACTCCAGTCAGGCATCTGAGCCCTCCATTCTCAAATTGCAAACTTTATTTTGTTACGGTGACATTTCTATTTGGCGTTTTCAGTTGCCTGGAGCTGGGTCTACAGCTCAGACCCACGGAAATGTTCCTCGTCACTCGGCGAGTCTGGAGGTGCAGCAGTCTTCTTCGTCTAAAGGGTGAGAAGTTTTAGCGAGAGTTTAATAAGTTTTTGAACTATTCATTATAACTTCGTCTTCTAATATCACCATCTTCATAATCAAAGGTCGCGGTGGGATTTTTAATATTGTGTTAACCATTTTTACAAATTTTCACGCTGAGGTTTATGTTGAGAAAGGGGTAGTTTACGGCCGTGCTAAGAATCCAAGCTCTCATCATGAGTGGGACTTTAAAGCTTTTCAGTTTGCCACACTTTGACACAAATGCTCCCCCTGCTTCACAAATGGTGGTTCCAGCTGTTCCAGAAATCGAAGCAGGTAGAAATCGGCAGAAATCTAGCAGGTTAATATTGTTTACTGAAAGGAGATGGGTTGAATTCTAGTTCATAATGTCTTCGATCTTTTTAGAGGAGGGCTACATAATGGTGGTTACGATGATGAAAATTATGATTATATTCTCAAGGATGGAGAGTGTTTCAATACGCGGTAGTTCTATTTATGGAAACTTATCGCTTTTTTTTCGCTTTTCTCATAGAATTTCGTTGTTTCAGTTATATAATCCTCACCGAAAAGCCCATAGGGAAGGGGTCATTCGGGCAGGTTACTCGAGCTTATGATACTGTAGCGAAGGAGGATGTTGCAATAAAAATTATCAAAAATAAGAAAACGTTTTTCGATCAAGCACAGATTGAGATCAAATTGTTGGAGATGATGAGAGCTCATGACACTGAACGGAAATATAACGTTGGTGTGTTTTCTTTCTCTTTTTTCAAACCTTGGATATTCGACAATTGTTAGTTCTGCTTCGCTTTAGTTCTGCTCAAAGGGCATTTTGTTCATCGAAACCATCTATGTCTCGTATTTGAGCTGCTCTCCTACAATCTTTACGACTTATTGCGGAATACGAATTTTCGAGGCGTCTCACTCAACCTGACTAGAAAGTTTGCTCAGCAGGTGGTTTCGTTTATTGGTAATGCGCTTCATGTTTATATTACTATGCTTGCAACATCATGATAAATTGACGTAATTCCTAAACGTTTAACAATTACTGTTTCATAGTGGTCGAAGAATCCTATTTCTTTCGTTGTATAAGTTTTGCCTTTTACAGTTGACGAAGACACTGTTGTTCCTGTCATCTCCCGAACTTTCGATCATTCACTGTGATCTTAAGCCTGAAAATGTGCTACTTTGTAATCCGAAACGCTCTAAAATTAATATAATCGACTTCGGATCTTCTTGCCAAATCGGTCACAGGATTTATCAATACATACAGTCTAGGTATTTTCCTACAGTTTCAATTGCTTTAGCCTTGATATTTATCTTAAATATCCTCAGGGAGCCTCTGACGCAGTAGTAGTCGGAGGTGCCCTGCAGTACACATGGGGTCGACCCCGGCGCCCTTGGCCGAGCAAGCCTTCAATCCCTTCAAGTTCGACAAATTGGTCCCAGACTTGTCTGGAGGGATACTAGCACTGACTCGATACATCACTAGGCCACCGCGAGTCATTGCATACGCCAAATATGCATTCAATTACCTCCAAACGATGTTTAATGAGGAATGCATTGCGCATCCCTAAGGGATTGACCAACGCTGTGTGCTTTACCGTTTTCACTCTCAGAGATTCTGCTGAGTTTTGCATTATAAGAGAAGGCGATGTGACATAGTTGTATATATCGTTAAGATATTGTTTGTCGTGTTGGTGAATTACTCATTCCATTATAACCTTATTTCTAGATTTTACCGCTCTCCAGAAGTTCTATTAGGGATCGCGTATGATACAAAGATCGACATGTGGTCCCTCGGTTCGTCGAACGATTCTTTAATAATGCTTTTGCTTTAGTTTTTGCTTTGTGGGCATTTCAGGATGTATTTTGGTGGAAATGCACACGGGAGAGCCGTTGTTTGCTGGCTCTTCAGAAGTGGATCAAATGATGAAAATAGTCGAAGTACTTGGAATGCCTCCAAAGGAGCTTCTTGATATTGGTCCGAAGACCCATAAGTATTTTGAAAAAACCGAAGGTGCGTTAGTCTTCACTGTCTTTCTAATCTGTTTTGAACCAAATCTATATTTTATACAGAGGGTGTGTATTACTGCAAGAAAACTCGGGACAATTTCAATAGGTGCTATCGAGGTCCAGGACATAGAAAGTTGCATGACATACTTGGTGTCACATCTGGTGGTCCGAACGGCCGACGTGCAGGAGAACTGGGGCATTCTGTAGAGGAGTACAGCAAGTTTAAGGTTAGGTCTACTCTTTGTGTTCGTTGTTTTAAAGGTTTTGTAATTTCTTGAGTCTCGATGTATTTACCGTTTTCTTCGATTCTTGATTTGTTTTAAATCGTTATAATCATTCATATGTATAATGCTTCTCTTTGTGAGCATTTGGGTTTTCTCTTCCTGTTTTACAATCAATTCGTCCTCAGAAAGGCTCAAGTTATACCTCTGCAATGCAAGACAGAGTTGCCGTTGGCTGGGTACATCCTGGTTGCCTAGACTCGCTTAATTTTTCTGTTTCATTCCCTTACTGTACTGTTATTTGAATATTTATTTTGTTGGTGTATTCATGCTTCCAATGATTCCTTTTCATTGCACCATTTTTTACAGGACCTTATAAAGCGGATGTTGACTTACGACCCAAAAGTTCGTATATCTCCCTATTACGCTGTCCGTCATCCATTTCTGAGACCAAGAACTGCATCTCAGACAGGGCGTTCAACTGTCGGGGAGAGTCCCACTGTGAGTTTTTGTACTTCGTTATCACAGTCGTTTTACTAATACCGTATTCTAGTCCATTTTTTATACTTCTCCGTAGCTTATTACGGCTGGGTCGGTGTCCAGGTTGCGAAAAAGGAAAGATCTTCAATGATTCCTTTTACTGGTGTTAAAACCTAGTGGGGAGTAGGAGGGGGGGGGGGGGGGGGGGGGGGGGGGGGGTGGCAGTGCTTAATTTCAAGCCTTCAAGCGACTACGGTTAGTTCTACAACGATGGGTTGTAGAGTGGTGAACTACTTGAAAATTTGACGCGAAGTTGTTTAGTCTAAAGTTATATTCAAAATTCTGTTTGGGATTGGAATGTTTGTTCATGAAAGCTGTCTGAACTTTATGCACCAGGAATTTGTCAGCTTGCTATCAACCGGATAAGATTCTTCCAGATGTTTCATGTAAGAAATTCCTCATATCAGCATTACATATATTGTTCATCTTATTGTCCCGTATTGGGCGGATAGCACAGTAGTGGTATCGGCCATCTCGAGCATGACGCTAATTCGACCCCGCACCGGGATCACCAAACTTGTCGTCCCTCCTGGGTCGGGAAATTGGTACCGGACTTCTCCGGGAAAAAATTGCTCTTTGCAATCCAACTGGGACCGCTCCAGCCCGGCTAGCCCAGGGCTGCAGGTTTAATCGACTCGACAAATATTCTACGACATCGAGATTAAATGAAAATTCTCAAGCAGTAGCCGAGGCCACACTTAAAAGTTGAAAGATCTTCGTGGATAGTGGATGGAAAGCGAATCGAATGTGAAAGTGCTGGGATCCACATAGTAGACGTGAAGATGGATCATATAAAGAAAATAAAAATGAATTGTGCAATATTGCAACATAATGACATTTATAACAGGTGATCAGGATGGGGTCCACTTATGACTTCACTTTCTTCTAATACGCTAAGTGCTTTCTATGAATCCGCATTTTCGACGGTATTAGTTCATGTTAGGTTCAATCAGCCCTACTTGGATGAATTTGTTTCAAATTACGATTGGTCCCCATAAAGTCCATTTTCTTTGAAAGCTGTTTACTTGTAGTGTACACAGGGCAGGGGGGAATTCCGATGTAATTTGAAGGATTCGTCAATGTAAGTATTGATCACCTTCCATCAATTCTTATAAAATAAAACGTCGAAGATTGCTTGCTTATGCTGGTCCGTTGTTAAGATGATGCGGCGACCATGATAGGTTGAAGATTCGAAGGTCGTAACCAACAGTATTTTCTTAGTTTACTGAGCTAACACGAGTTTAAAATATTAACTAGTTGTGTACGCGTTTGTTTAACAGTACATTTCTTCTTGCAGCATCAGTCGTCCTCAAAAAATGCTCAGGACATGTGGGGAAGTCAAATGGACTGCAGTGAGGATGCTACGCAATCATATGGGTAACTTCTTCTTATACTCCAGTTTATTTTTTCCCCTCAATTCTTGTTTTAGTAATTCATCAGCAACGGCATCTCTCACACAACCTTCCGCTACTACGCAAAGGAAACCAACCGTTGATGAAACGTCACAATTTGGGGGACATTACTCACATTCAACAGGAGACGTCTACCGCCAACCTTCGGTTTGTCTTATGACAGTATTATATTTATATGTGGGAGAAACCACACATTTGATTTCACTCCAGGGTCCACAGCCACATCGCAATCCGAGTTTCGACGAAACTCCATCTCGATCGCATAATAAAACACAAACGTTTGCTTCACAAGCCACAGTTCCTTCTCATCTCAACTTGCAATATAATCAGGCGTTGTATAACTGATCGAATGTTTATCCTTACAAGCTTTAACTACTTCGTATGGTGCTAACATGTATTATGTGTTGTTTTATATAGGTGACTAGATGTTTTTGGTAGCATGTTGCGGTCTGACTCACAAAATCAACAATAGATGCGAAAATTGATGTGGTGAAATGGCTCCAGCGTCCGGGATACAATCACTTATTTGCGTTTTATTACCCTTACTTTGCATTATACTCTAAATTAGTGCTTTCATCGCTGTACAACCTTCTAAGACTTTATCCAGATCCCTACTCTAAGTGAAAAGTTATTTCCAATTTGGATGATTTCTTGTCCTCTTGTTCTTCGAGGACAATACCGGCTGGCGTTCCTCGTAACATTACCAGATGAATTACCTAGGTGTGTAAGTGGAATTCATGTGGACGAAGCAGAACATTTCACATTGGAATAGTGAGTGGCGAAGTGGGCACTGTATAGGAAGCGGGATTTTAAATATTCTTTCCAGCATGCATCCGTGTTGTATCCTGATATCATAAGATCATTCCATATTTTTAGGAGAGGCGAAGGGTGTCCCTGACTTTATTGATTCCGCATATTATGTTGTGCGCAGCGAAGTATGTTGTCACTTTGTATTCATATAAGCATTGGCTTACTAACAAGTCGTAGCTCTTACTGAACCAGTATGTTGCATTTTCTACTGAACTAATATGTTGCAGTTCTTACTAACATGCCTTTAAGCACTTTTCTTCTTACGTAATAACATACTCATGTACTAACATAATTTAACATAAATTTGTTCAAAACGTGTAGTTCACTGCTCATCAATTCCAATTATTAAACTAGGTTTTCCTTTCGATTCCTAATGTTGTCATTATTTTTTTGAAGTTTTAAACTACGAAAATAACTACAATAAAGAGGTTCTAATAGATTTGTTTATGTAGCTTGTATAGTACTTTTGCTCCACCTGTGTCAGATATGTTTATACGAAGAGCTAGCATTGCAAACCTATTGCAATTTTAAAGAAATACACAAGCCGGAAGATTAGATATGAGATAGAAACGGCAGGCAAAGCAAGGAGATCCATCCGAAAACAACTGAGTTCCAAGCAACACTACCTGTGATACTAACGGGCTAAGTAAGAATGAATGCAAAATATTAGATCCGTCATCTGAACACACTCATCAGATCCATCGAGCAAACGTGCTTCAATTACCTGTAAATTAGTATTCATAGCAAGATGGTTTCTTCTTTACCTCCGTAACAATGCGACAACGCTCAATTTCTCATAGCAAGCGCTGGGAAGTGAAAACTTGGTACAACTGCAATGATATCCCCTACAATTAGAATTCGCTAATTTTTGTGCACTGTTCACTCAACAGCCGTTACTTTTTCATATGCACTCATACCATGCTACAATTAAGGTCAAAAGGCGACCGGGAAATGAAGTTTAATATAGTCCTTCCAGGGACTAGATTTTAAATGCTCGAATCATGTGGACCAAAGACGAATCATCGATATTGAACACGAAGATCCTAAACACTGGAGAAAATGAGCACCTTTTCGTGCTCTTTCCGAGATGTTTGAAGGTAGTGCTCAGAGAATAATGGCGAAACTTATCATGATGAAATTAGTGGTGAGTCAGATATCTGATGATACTTACATTTTCGATAACAATTTTTCTGGTGTAAATCAACTATTTCCACGTGGATGCCGATAGAGAATGCCTACAATCTCAGCTACCTCCTCAACCTATTATACACGATGCTTGTTTTTTCACAACTGTTAATAATTACCCGATAAATAGACCAGTGGCAGAGTTGGGAACTCCAGTCCTAGAGTGGGAGCTTCCCCTATTGCTTGGGAGAATAAATGATTTTTCCAACATGTTCTATCGATTAATTCTCAAGTTCACCAAAGCCGAAAGCAGAATTTATAATGTTAACTTTTCTGAGATATTCACAAAAATTCGCACAGCATGTGTCTGTGGTGGGGAACGAACGCGCTGTTACCCTTTCCCGGGGCTAACGCTTCCACCACCACAAAATGCGTGTCCTTCGTTTCGCCTTTCTCTCAGCTACTTTTCTATCTACCAGGAGGTATCAGCAATTACTCGTCAACGGGTTTAGTCTGTGGAGCACAAATCGACAATGAACCCAGTTAAGCTGAGGCTATAGTTTTAATTACATGGCAAAATTGATACTTTATAAAATCGACGCAAGCACAGTAACCGCAAAAATCAAGACGTGAACTCACAGTGCCCAAGTTGTACTGTTACGCTACGCATACGTGGTGGCTTGCAAAGTGAATAAACTGCACTGTATTCTACGCTGTTTCTATCGAGCGGTTTATTTTGCTACGCAGAACTTTTTTCTTTAAAACTTTTTGCACCCATTCAACGCTTTGTCCAACAAAGATTTTATGTCTGATGTAGAAAAAAGCTTTCGATGTCGATCAATCCCTTAGAGATGTGCCACGCATTCGATTTCATTAAGCATCGTTGGAGGTGACTGAATGCAGTGCGGCCCGCAGTGGCTTAGCGATGTATCGAGCCAGTGCTGTTTTCCTCCCAGGCAAGTCTGGTACAAATTTACCAACTCCAGTGGGATAGAGGGCTTGGTGGGCTTGGGGCGGACGGATAGACCCCATGTGTACTGCAGGGCGCCTCCAACCACAGTGCTACACACGCCACACATGTCAGACGTAGCCCGTAAAAACTCTTAATTTATTGATTTGCGGAAAACCTCTCACTTTAGACAACTTTACTTTGCGACTACAGATTTTTGCTGTTGAATCCAGTGTGCAGTATGGAGAATGTTGCCAGTACAGAGGCGCAAAAACGCGTCCACTTAAAAACTGGAATTCAATACTCAGGAAGAGCTTCTCGTTATGAACAGATGATAAATCATTGAAGAAATTTCCTCACAGTGGCTCAAAGTTGACATAGCATACTCTATTATTGTGCTTCCATCAGTGTGCCTTTATAAACAATTATCATTTCTTATTACAACAATGTTTCAATGCTGTTCTCAGGATCGATTTTCTGTTAACCTCAGCATTGGATTAGAAATGCGCCGTTCTATCATGCGTTCACCAGGGTTATCTGAACGACCAATTGGCAAAGTACAAGTTAGTTAATAGGCTTTTAAACACACTTTTGTCATCAAATTGGCTGTAATAGGATAGCAAAGAAGAGCAGGACTACAGCTTCCAACTGTGACAGTCCCATAACTTCCATAATAAGGAAGAAATCAAGGAATTTTTATCCTTTAAACACGTCGATTAGCTTCTGTAGTTCGTATATATTCTTTCCCATCACGTATGTCGGCCAAGAAATCGGCTATAAACAATTCATAAAAGGCACCATATTGACTGTGGTCGACGATTCAATGACTGCGAGACAACACACTGCTAGTCACTCACGTTCGCCGTCAACACATTCTTCTTCATGGCCAGTTTTGATGAAATGTCGAACAGTGTTCAAGTCTGCTTAGTTTTCTTGCACATATTATACCCATACAGAAGAGCGCGAGTAGCGCAGTGGTTAAAGGCGCCCTGCAATATATATGGGATCGATCCTGCGCCCCAGGCTCACAAAGCCTTCCATCTCTCCGGAGTTGCCAAACTGATACCAGATTTGCCCGGGAGGATAGCAGCACTGGTTCGATACTTCGGTAGGCAACTGTGAGTCATTGTAAAGGCCACATATGCATTGCATTCAATTACCTTTAGCGGTGTCTAGTGAAGTCGAATACACTGCACATTTCTTACGGATTGACCAACATTGAGAGCTTTTTCATACCCATACAACAATAAAGTAAAACCTGCTCTATAAAATTGTCAAGTTCTCAACTTCTTACGTCCTCTATTTCCCGAAAATTATCTGGAGTTATCATTAGACTGGCGTATGGTGCAGGGAGTACAAATTTCAACTTCTGGCCAACAATTCGTTGTATTTCATTCTGAACTGTTATTATGGGTGATGTATAATATTTAATGGGTAGAAGTGATAACGATATAGACCAAACAAGTGCTTTAGAGTACTCCTAAGTACTGGGTAGAATGTGACTGGATGGTGAACCATAATAAAATATAGTAAATAGTAACATGTATACATTTAGGTCGACAAATCAGAGATTCTTATTCTGTTCCACTTTCAATCTATCCACTCCTCAAGCTATAGAAAAATTATTGCCTATTTTTGGAAAACCAAAGCTGTTCATTACTTGCGGTGTCTTACTGCAGCAGAGTTCTACTGCTTGAACTGTCGCCAAGAAATTGGGCGTAATCCTATTTGGCAACCATGTAAATTTGCGTATCGGGCGTTACGTGATATTGGGGCATAATGTCCTATTTCCTTGCCCTATTTCATAAAACTCGACGGTTAAACCACTTTGATGATTGGAGTGCAGGTCTCGGCAAAGAAAAGCGAGAAAACACGTACAGTTTGTTCCAAAAAAATCAGATTTTGTTGTCATAGAATAAGAAAGAAGTCGCATTTCGTTGGAAAAGCCTGTATATTCTAAAAGCTTTTTAATAAAGTTCACTACGGCCTAAGATATGCTCGTTCAAAGTTGAAGGAAGCAATTATTCTTGACCACATGGGATTATGTACAATGCGCACGACCTCTTATTTGCTAAAGGGACTTCAAAAAAAACGGACGTTGTGCTCACTGCTATACAGAACTCCAAATTTGCAAGCATACACAGAAAGTTGATTAACGCCATTTGAAGCCAGTACCGTAAATATTTCCGTTTAGGTTGCTTCAACAATCCCCGTAAGGTTGTAAATTGTACGGTGTGCAACTGTGAACAACACAGCTCGGAACCTATAATTTTCCCACGTATACAGTAGAAGCACAGTAGTGAGAACCTAGCTGCTTGCAAAAGAATAACTTAATACGTTTCTGTTTTCTCTTTCTGTATTATAAAAACTACTTTCCCTCGGCCGAACTGTCGTGATGAAAATGAGTGGGAATCAACTCAAAGAAATCAGTCCCCTACCCCTTCTTTTACGCATGAGATGAAATTACTCAATCGCAAATGTGTTGCGAAATTTTCACTAATTATTTTTACAAACGCAGTCAGTTTCATGCCATCGTTATCGGCTCATTGTTATCTGATTACTTCAGAAATGACCACCTAACGCACACGAAGGTGACAATGAATTTATCAGTGCTCCTCAAAAAGTTCAAATAAAAGAGGACATACCGCTATTTTATCAAATATAGCGCTCTTGTCTATGTCAGTCAGAATGTCGTCGTCAATTAAGCACTCGAAAAGTCGATCAATCACAAGACGAGCAGAATATCCGGAACGATATAGGTAATCGACAGAGCTAAGAAGTCTCGTTGTATCCGACGAGTGACATGCGAGGATGATTTCATGGATCTTAAAGAAAAATTTAAACGAACGATTCAAATCACATGGACCTTGTCCTCCAGGAAAACCTGTTCCGAATTACTATGTAGATTTAGGTGGATTCAGTAGTCCCTTATAACCCATCAGAGAAAACTGATAAACTCACGTCCTTTTCAAGCACTTGACCAGTAGTGCTGAATATAAAGTCACTTGTGATATTCTGACGGAAGGAGAGTGATTGTAGATAGTTAATAGATCGACGAAGATCTCCTTCACAAAAAGTTATCAACATTGACAGTGAATCATCGCTGATGTCAATATCTTCATTCTTGCAAATATATAGCAATCTGAATGAACGGATTTATTTGAAAAAATATAACCGTTATAGTGTTGTAACTCTCAGCATGTAATGTACTGAACAATTACCAGGAAAATGAACCATGATTTTGGCTAAGCAACAGAAAACATTCACCTATCTTTCTGGCACTCAAGTGGAAGTGGCTTGAACCGAAACTTGGCACAACGAGACGTGAGAGGATCGATTATTCGAGATATATAATTGCAGATGAAGAAGAATCTGAAGGGACTAAGAGAACACAGCGGGCTAGTTTGAAACAGCCAAGAGTCAAAAGTGTAAGAATGTAAGGGGTTAGAGGAAGTGTGGGAAGAAGAGTGTAAGAATACCTCGTAGTTTTGGAATACTTTTCCATAATTCTTCGCAATGCCGCTTGGGCAGCAGAAGTCATTGCATCAACCTCATCCAGAATAACAATCTTAAAGGGTACACCACTTTTTGGGACTGCACGATGGGCAAATTCTTTTATCTGAAATACCACAAATGACCAAATAGTAGCGAACGGAAAAAAAAATATTTAAAGACAAGCAACAAACCCTCGTTCGCACAACTTGTATTCCCCTCTCATCAGAAGCATTCAATTCGAGAATGCGGTCGCAAAATACTTTATGTACCGGAAAAAGTTCACGGCAAAAAGCCATCACTGCGGAAGTCTTTCCAGTACCTGGTGGCCCATACAACAGAATATTAGGCAACTAAAGTATGGAGAAGAATGAAAGCAAAGTTCTACAATAAAACAATAACGAAAACTCACATCGGCCCCATCCAGCACTTTCTTCAGAACAAGGACTATCTCACTATGATAAACAACGTCATCCACATTCCTTGGGCGACTAAAATAACTACTAGTCAATGGTCTTAAGAAAGAAAGAATTTATCATTCATGACTCACTATTTTTCCACCCATGGTACGTTCATTCTGTCACTTGCTGGATCGTGTTTATCCTCTTTGCCATTCGCAACAAAACTGTCCATCTTCGATGCTGCGGCCTCCTACGAACAACTTGACTTAACTGTCTTTTTGGAACTAGATATCATTTTCTCGTTTTTCATTTCTTAAGTTTGGTAAAAGATAAAGGATAGATCTCTGGGCGTAGATCAATTCCCGACATATGTGCCATGCATTCGACTTCACTGAGTATCGTTGTTGATGAATGAATGCATATCTGGCTTTTACAATGACGCCGTGGCTTACTGATGTATCGAACCAGTGCCGCTATCCTCCCAGACAAGTCTGGTACCAATCTGCCGACTCCAGAGGGATGAAGGGTTAGTGGGCCTGGGCGCGACGATCGACCCCATGTGTATTGCAGAGCGCATCCGACCACTGCGCCCACTAGGTTTAATAAAAACAAAAAATTTATAACTTATCCTCAAACAACCATGGTATGATATCATTCACTATACTCTGGTATGTATGGAAATGCACAACAGACACAACGGCAATAACTATGACAGTTCCGACAACTTTATTTAAAAATTACAAATTTCAATCTCTAATGAAAAGAAAGGATGGACAATAGATGGATCTTATAAAGAAATTTCGCAACCGAAAAGATTAGACAAGAAAAATTGATCTTCTCGAAGTTAGATTACTACCTATACAACATTAGGAAAACATGGAGTTGGAAATCAGTGCGGAAAATGAGGAAAAAACCAATGCATAAAAAGGACAACAAAGATAAACTATTGGATTATTCAAATCTGGCAACAAAATACATCATCAAAATCCCAGAAAGAATGGCGAGAACTTCACGAAATGACTGCCCTGTGGTTGAGTTCTCCAGAAGTTCAGGAATAACAGAAACAGTTGCAATATATATAAATCCTCCAGCTGAAAGAAAAGAGAAAAACTTAAACAGAACGATTACAAAGTTTGGTATCAGTTAGAAATGGATAAAGACAAATACCAGTGAATGGAAGAATCCAACTACTAGCGGCGGCCTCAGCAAGTGCTGATGGATCCCCTGCCCACAGAGAAAAAGCGCATCCAGAAAGAGCACCCAAAGCTGTCACGAGTTGTATAGCCATTGCCTAAAATAGACGGTCTTTCTGAAAACTAAATAAGTGCTTATGCAAATACAATATGTTTGGAGATGTTTAGGAGAGATCAATCATTCCGTGAAGCTCAGCTGTCAACCACAATTTGGAGAAGAAGCATACCTTTCTCTTCGAGTAGCCGGATTGTATTAAAATTGCAAAATCACCAATCTCGTGTGGTATTTCATGGACTAACACAGTCATCATAGTTACTAAAAACTAATTAGTGACACACAGAAAACAATTTATGGAAAAAATATGTCGACTCAGAAAATCGGAAGCACTAACCTACTCCAACAGTAGTTCCTGCGACGAATGAAGCACCAATAGCGAGACCGTCGGTGAAGTTGTGTGCAAAATCAGCAACAAGATTGAGGTACGCAGCCACCTAATCGAAATAACCATTGTCCTTTACGCCGCGACGTGAATTCCATAGGAGTCATATTACTCGAGAATAATATCCACTTTTAACTTCGAATAAAAGCATCTTAGCTCATAACGAATTTTCTTAAATGTGATTAAACTGATGGATCTACAGATTTTCGCCTGCATGACACATATCATCCCATGTACACAGACACAGTTATCGCCCATGTATTACTCTGCGCGGCTGCTATCCATCAACTAACTTAAACACTTACAACAAATAAACGGCTCTGAAGAAGGTAAAACCGCCGAAACTCGTGTCTGCTTATTGAAGAAAACATCGAATTATCAATCAGTGCCGAGGTTAACAGAAAGTCGGTCATGGGAATTGTCATCTCATTATAAAAAATAAAGGGCAAAGCTCTCGGTGCTGATCAATCCCTTAGGAAAACGTCATGCATTCGATTTCATTAAGCACCGTCTGGAGGTGATTGAATGTATCTTGCCTTTACAACAACTCGCGGTGGCCAGCCGATGTATCGAGCCAGTGATGGTATCGTCCCAGACAAGTCTGGTACCAATTTGCCGACTCTGCAGGAATGGAAGGCTTGGTGGGCCATGGGCGCGGGAATCGATTCCACGTGTGTTGCACGGCGCCTCCTACTACTGCGCCAAACGCACTCTATATCTCACTATACGAATATGAAACCTGCTTTCCTAGAGCTCAACAAACCTATGTCTTCTACTTCCTTTTGTTTAAATACCCGTTCTCGAACATGGAAGAAATTGCAGGTGTGGGCTTTCTTCAATGGGACAACACATTGTCTTGCAATATATAGCTTATGTTTCCCCTACCGCTACTGGTTTGAAAACTTTGACAGTTTGAAATACATCTGTTCTTCTCTTTTTTTATAGCAACTGTGAGATTGTTATTCAGCACACGTTTAATTCCTCACAAATATAACACATACAACACAACGGCAGCTGACGTTTCGGCAGTATCGCTTTCTTCAAAGCTCGGAAGGGTACACTAATGTGTAATTTACTAGGTCAAACGGTTCAAAAACGCAAACAGAAAGACGAAAATCTGAACAATAATTACATGATCACTGGCTTCTCGAAAAACCCATCCGCTTTCTGCTTATCCATGTTATTCATTCTCGGATTTTTAGAATTTCTACAAAAAGCCTCGAGAAATTTGCACGCTGGTGTTCCACTCTCCCGTGCGATGATAGCGACCTTTACATCAAAATCTTCTCCGCTATGTTTTTGTATCCTATGTGTCCCTAGTGGCTTGCCTTGTTTTGATTTTCGTTTGCCATATAGGTGTTCTTTTATATGGATACATAAAAATTTACCCGTTTCGCCGATATATTCGTCTCCGCGAGTGCTACAAGAAATCAAGTATATCGTACCTGAACTCATGCAGTCCCCGTCTCTGCCATAGGGGCAAATTACGCAATTTGGTGTTTCACATAGACAGTCATACACGCGGTTACGAACTAACTGAAGACGTAGAGTACCCGGCGGTATTTCATTTATCGCTACCGACTTCTCTAGATCTGCACTTCTTAAGCATCGCTTTATCGCTACACTTATTTCATCGCTAATGAAGGGCAATATAAACGTGATTTCTTCCGGCCAAACCCTTCGTTTAGGGGCGTCGCTTCGCTCTCCTTCTAAACTTATCTCGCGGGGTTACTATTTCGTAGCCATTGGAGATGACTACTTCCCGAGCCAAGTTGCACGATTCTTCCTCTAGTTCCCCATTTGTGCACACAGAGGTGGCTGCTCTAAACACGTTTCTCACAAGCACCGTCTTTGTGTGTGAAGGGTGGAAAGAGTAGAAATGAACGAGAATGTTCTTATTATTTGGTTTTCGGTACCACTTTGTCATGTAAGCGCTACTTAATAGGTTTATCTGAACGTTTGAGAACGGAAGTCAGTTCCTTCTCGGTTTCTCCTGAGTGAATTTAATGTACTCAGACTGCTCGTTCAATAATTGGAAGCATTTGTCCATCTCCTCCTTGGTAAAGAAGACGACAAAACAATCATCTATGTACCTGCAGTAGAGTAGTGGTCGGAGACCGAGAACGCGGGCTTTTACTTTCTACAAGTTTGTAACGAGAGCGACGCCTCAAAACGAAGGGTTTGGTCGAAAGAAAATCCCGTCTATATTGCCCTTCATTACCGATGAAATAAGTGTAGCGATAGATGAAATACCGCCAGATACCCTATGTCGTCAGTTAGTTCGTAACCGTCTGTATGACCATCTATGTGAAACACCAAATTGCGTAATTTGCCCTAACGGCAAAGACGGTGGTTGCGTGAGTTCAGGTACGATATACCTGATTTCTTATAGTACCTATGGAAATGAATACATCGGCGAAACGGGCAGACTTTCATGTATCCGCATAAAAGAACACCTAGATGGCAAACGAAAGTCAAAACAAGTCACGCCACTAGGCACGCATAGGATACAAAAGCATAGTGGAGACGATTTTGATATAAAGATCACTATCCTCGCACAGGATGCCAAAACACCAACGCGCAAATTTCTCAAGGCTTTATGGATAAATTCCAAAATCCGAGAATGAATAGCAGGTAAGAATGCCCTGAGATAACGCGTGATTTAGCTCCGTATATCAGAAATGACTTTTGATGTGGGATGGTGCAGTAATCAACTATATGCGACTCTAAGCGGCTGTTCTTCCTTGGTGGAAAACAGATAAAAACTGTGGGTTTTTCGAGAAGCCAGTGATCACGTAATTATTGTTCAGATTTTCATCTGTTTGCGTTTTTGAAGCGTTTGACCTAGTAAATTACACATTAGTGTACTCTTCCAGGCTCTGAAGAAGACGATACTGCCGAAACGTCAGCTACCGTTGTGTGGAATGTGTTATATTTGTGAGGAATTAAACGTGTGTTGAATAACAACCTCGCGATTGCTGTAAAAAAGAGAACAACAGATTTATAATCCAGTGCCGAGGTTAATGGAAAGCCGATCTCGGGAACAGTTTGAAACTTTCAACTTTTTTAGTATGCAAGTTCCAAAGTGGTTTGAATATTAAAACAGACTGCATAAGAAAATGCATATTCGGTTAGAAAAAAACTGTCTTCTATAGATCTATAAAGTACCAAACTCTCGAAATACTCCAGTGAACCAAAGCTATCGTAACTATTGAAAAACTAGCTTCTTCGCAAAAGGTCTAACCAACAAAAAATACAACTCAATTATTTAAACTCTGTAATAAGTGCCTTGGATCTAACCTTAACTCCATCGGATTTTTGGCTCATGGCGTGTGAACTCATATCACCTTTCTTGATGTGGACAGGGGTCTCGGATGCTTCATCAGACTCGTCGTCAGAATGCTTTATCTAGAAATTCATGTAATAGAAGCTCCATCCAAAATAATTGAGCGTATTTAGAACCCCTTATCAAGAAGTACATATAGAAATACAAGTGATAGAAGTAAAACGTTAGTAAAAGTATCAACTCCAGGACAGCTGCACGACTTTGTACAAGGCAAAAAGTGCTAAGCAACAAATAAAATTCAGCTTTATTGTCAATTGAGGCAAACAGTAAGACCGAAAATAGTAAGAAAAACGCTCACTTTCTTTTCTGAGATTATGCGATAGGAATGAGAGTGACCGCTTTCTCCGCGAATGATTCTCACCACTTTCTCAACCAACAGAAACGTCGTAATGCCTGTATAAAGCAAAGTGCTCAGAATGAAAGACAATAAGTCCCTCCAGAAGGATAACGCCATTAACCATTTACCTGCTAGCACCCATCCACCGACACTCATGTCATGTGGTTCATGAGTGTGTTCCGTGTGCTGTAGAACTGAATGGGAATGTGAATGTGAATGCGAATGTGAAGTAGCAGGTGCCGCATGGGGTATCAAATGCAAAAATGCGTCCCCTAGTAAACCTCCAGAACCAAAAGCAAGTAGAACCTTCAACCATGGTTCATTTGATGGAGAGTTATTCTGAAAATGAGCACTGTAAACTCGAGAGTAAAATAAACAAAATGGTAACTAGGGAGAAAAATCACCTGAATGGGTATAAAAATAAGAAGGAAGAATGGCACGGTACTAATGAGCAAAGTGGCCCCGATAGCATATGTCCATAAGTAGGAATGAGATCTCGTGCTGAAATAACTCAATACAGCGTGAGAGAACTAAGCATAAACGGAATTAATTTAAGAGCTTGTCCAGGTAGAATATGTCTTTGGAAATTTTCATCACATTGAGACCAACCAGTTACTGCTTTACTTGAAAAGTCTAATGCTAAATTGTCCAAAATGTGCCCTTGTCTTTATGTTGCTCTTAAGAGTGATATAGATAACAAATCCTTCAAGTATAATCATGCCTGTGGTCCTGTTTACCATTTGTGTGGGCATGTGGGCATCCACTAGATCGATGATGGTGAACATGATGACCGCTTGAGTGAGCTTCTCTTGCAGCCTGAAAACAAGATCCGATCCATTCCGTAAAATTAGAAGACCATAGAATGCAAAGTCCTATATAATGATTGGGAGCAATACGTTTATAACTAAGGAAAAGTTTTAGAACAAAGATTCAGGCGGTCGGACTTCGATGGATGACAACAAAAAACTTGCTGTATGAATCAATTAAAACGTCCCACCAAGAGAAGCCAATTTCGACGGTCGCTCGGAAACCCTTTTAGACATGGAGCTAAACATAGCTTATTATGGAAATCTCAACACATATATCTTCATGTTGTATTTAACGATATCTAGAATTCCATAATAGTCATCCCTCAAAACACTAACTGTATAGTTTGGAAGTCAAGTAAAGGACAAAGTAATTACGAATCGCAAACCTGCTCGTTGATTTCCCTGCTGTACTTGGTGAACGCCGGTTCATGTGAATGGGAGTGAGCAGATATGCAGATTGTCGATAGAATGACAACCGTCAACACCATCACTAGCCTGCCCATGGGGTAATCTCCCACAAAAAGAAACCTTCAAACGGGACGAAACGAAACACATATGGAACATGAAAGCAACTTTATTCACGAGCTGCCAATCAATGACTAAATCAGGAACACACTTTTGATCGCTATGAGACCGCATTTGACGACTGCTTGCGCCCCGTTACTGTAAGGAACCAAAGAGTTTTGAGACCCTTAAAAGCAGTAAATTGTACTGGTGGGAACAATCGAAGTACAGTGGTGTTGGCTTGGTCCTACTTTATGAATTAACCCAACAAAAAAAAGCTCAGCATTGATCAAACCTAGAGGGAAGCGCGATGTATTCAACTTCATTTAAGCTTCGTTGGAGTTGATTGAATTCATACGTTTGCACTCTCATTAGGAGTTACGGTTCCTGCAATTTCTCCTAACGTTTCGAAGAGGTTTGTTCCTGTCCCTATACCTTATCATTAGACTTTGTTTACGTTAGTGCAGAAGAGCGTTACGACTGTCGTTCCCATTTTATTGACTCAGTGGTGCAAAATTACATCTTTTGTTTCATCAATCCAACACCACTGCACACAGAGGGCGTGAGCTTCTCGTGTGAACAAACAAATAATTCACCGGCTCACTATGCACTGTTCCATGGGATAGACTGCCTCGTGTGGTTCTTTTTTACAATAACTGCAAAATCATGCATTTAAGAGAGCGAGAGCGGGAAAGAGGGAGGGATAGAAGAACAAATGACTATGATTAGTGGAAGAAAGGCGAATTCCATCACCAATGAGACATAAAGGTGAAAAAGAAAACACCTAACGGAATCACAACTCTACCTGTACAAAGCTCTGAGGGAGAACACGTGGTCATGGTGGCGACAAGCTGAACATGCCCCGGATGACTCATACGTCACTGGTCCGCGGAAATGCATTTGCGACAACTCGTCCATTTCAAGCGCACGCACTCTAGTGACCTACGGCCTTCCACTCCCGTTACTTGCTCCATGTTACAATGTAATTCTACTAGGTTTTATTAGAAGGACTTCGTTTCTGAGGGCATAATTCGCTCTAGCGTTTGCCAAACACTGACGTAAAGGAGTGATTAGGTTCTGTAAACAATTCATCCTGCCCGTCATACTTATAAGTGCAGTGTTTCATCCACTGAACATGACAAACCTCGTTTTTCTTCCTTTCTAATCTTTTTTTTTCTTCAAAAAGTCATTCAACGACTTCTCCTATCGTCAGTTGTATTTCTTACGTTGGTCGTTTTGCGACTGTCTTACTATGACGTCTCGTTTCCGTCCCTTTTCACGCATATTTTGTTCCTCCTTCATGTAGAATGTATGTCGGGCTATCGTCGATCTACTCATCGATCGATTGCTATGCTTGCAATGTGCTCAGTAGCCTTTGGGAGCGGCTACCATTCCCGATTTCTCATTTAGTGCTAGATTTGCGCGGGAAAACATCCGATGTTCCTGTCACACAGGTAACTCTACGTGTCTTTTTTTATTCAAACTGTACTCGTTCAGTAATTTTCTTTCTAGGTATTCGATGCTTACTCTAATTGTGGTTGTCTCTAACCTGGCCATGTTGAGTATTAGTTACAAACTGTAAAATTTACAACTCACCCCTTTAACTTGTGTAGAACTTGTCATATCGATGAAGATTAAGTGAAACTTCCAAAAACGAGAAGACAGTGTACCTTTTTTCAGCGTAGGCTTAGAGTAGGTTCAGTAGGCAGAAAGATCACATCGTTAATCAAAGGCAAATACTAGTATCGCACTAAGGGTGAAGCCGGTGCGGAAAGCCAGGGTAGTTGTCTTATCATATGCTCCTCTTTACAAGAACTTCCTCTGTGGTTGTACCACCACTATTATGACTTAGATCTCAAGACTAATTGCACCTATAAATAATCTGAATGGGCACGTGTGGCGCTGTTGTCGGAGGCAATACACATGGGATTGATCCTCGTGCCCTAGGTTCACCTAGCCTTTCATTTCTCCAGGATCGGCAAATTGGTACCAGACTTGTCTGGGAGTTTAGTAGCAATGGCTCGAGACATCGGTAGGCCACCGCGAGTCCTCATAAAGGCCCGATATGCATTCAATCACCACCAGCGATGATTAATGAAATCGAATGCATGGCGCATCTCTGAGGGGTTGATCAACTCCGAGAGCTTTATCATTTCATCCTTTTACAAATAAACGAACAGATAATGCGCTGTAGATTTCTGCAGTACATTTATTGCGTCACGGAACGACTTACATTGTTAGCCGCTGGAAGAAATTCTTTTTATAAGTTTATTTGCAAACACGGTGGTTTTCTTCTTACTTTTAAACATTTGGCCATCATTCAGAAATCAAGTCATGAGAGAAAATTGGTATTTTACTGTATTCTTCAGGACTATGAACTCTCAGAAGCTTGATGAAGATGTGGGAATGACTGACACGAATACAGCAAGACGTAAAGGACTTCGTCTTAGGAAAAACTTCAGGTGTGTTCGACAGTTACTTGAGTTGTTATTTAAATTGAAAAAGTAATCTAGGAGCATAGAGAACTCGGACCGAATTTTAAAACGAGAGACAGATCCTGCATGTGCTCCGAATCGGTTTGTTCGCCAAACAAAGTTCGACAACGCTGAAACATTCCTCTCAGCTTACAACACATTGTGTGAACAGGTTGGCAGTCTTGCTAAGCGTTTTCACGGAACTGTTTGTTATCCCCAAATGCGATTCTTTTGCTTATTTATCATAGATGTACTAAAATACATAACAGTATCTTGTTAAAAGGTCGAAGCACTTCGGGCGGAGAAGTACGACAGTGGAAATCAGGTTCACAAGAGGAAAATACTTGAATTGTGGCGTTTACTGAGACCGGATGATCATATCGCTTCCTGTTCTGGAAGACATTGGCGCACTATTGGGTTCCAGGTTTCCTCATTTCTCCAAATAGAACGGTGTGAAGAATTTGATTTTGTCAATACTTTCTTGCAGAGCGATGATCCATCCAGAGATTTTCGTGGAATGGGTATTTTGTCTCTGGACCAGCTGATCTATATGGCAAAGTTCGAGCCTAAGAGAACACGATCTATCCTCCTCTTGTCCAACCATCCTAGAATTGGATTTCCACTAGTCATTACAGGTCGGCGTAAAGCTCATTGTTACGAAAAATGATGCGTTGTTTTGTGTTCTAGTCAGGAAGATTATAGACGTGTGTGATGAGAGTTAAAAGTTTAGAAGTGAAAAGTCACATTTTCGAGTAACACCATATTGGCTGATCACGTAAGATCCACATTAAGACAGGGATTTGTGGTTCCTTTCTTCCAAAAGTGGTGCAGCTACGATTTCAGAGACTGCTTGTGTTTTGATTTCAAACCATTGATGTTAAGAAAGTGCTTACAGTGGAGTGAATTTCTCAGAACCATGAAAAGGTCAAGATCAGATAGTGCAATGTCCTTAGTAAACCTTCGAATGGTTGAGTGTTATCATGAAGATGACAAACTCGAACTTTTTTCGATGCTTCACTCATTAACAGGCGAGTGGCAGAGGTGCTTTGCATAAACGTGCGTCTCAACTAATGCTTCACTGGGCAGTAGTTCTTAATAAAATATGCTGCCCTAGCACAAGCCCCCACCGGCGCAAAAGAGCTTTGTGAACGCTAGCGTTTTTCTCGCTGCAGGTACCAGAAGGCGTGTCGCCTGATGGTGTGTTGTGGTAAAGCATCCAATCTTTAGCGCTAATCATCAGGTTCCTCAGGAATACCATTGTCGATGCAGCATAAGTGACTGGTGAACTAACATCACCTGGCATCTCGATTGGGTGACGTAGCAGCTTGTAGACGACAGAATCCTCCTATCTGCACAAGTTTCGATTCTCGAGTCACCGGCGGCTACGCGGTTACTGTTGTGGAACTAAACTCGTAGTAGTTGAAATCGCGAATTCGAAGTTTGTTCGTATGTTTTTTCGTTGTTGTCCTTTGCAAACGCTTTCCATTTTGTACGAATGGCAGAAAAACTGGAATGTTCTGCAACTTATCCAAATATAGCACCTCTGATGGTCGAATGATTTAGGAAGGAAAAAAATTTCTTTCCAACTAATGGAGTCTTCGTTCTCTGAACAATAAGTTATCGTTATACGGCTTTCGACTGCTATATTCCTTGGATTTTATTCCAATATTTGTTATATTTTGTATGACGCCTCTTCACATGTTATCATAATTCTAACAACTCCTTCATTCCTTTCTCTGTCTTACCTCTTTCATTTATGAAGGTTATTATTTCATACGGATTCGGCTGTGATTTGATCACTTTCTCTTCTACATGAGCATTGCTGAATGCTGGTCAGGCGTGGTTCTCCCTCAAATAGCGGGCAACTCTGCTAGATCCTTCCCAGGGCTTGAATTTCTCGAATAAGTCTTCCATCAGTATGTCTACTGCGGAAGGTTGAGGAGGCCGGGTTGGTTCGCAGCAGGGTTGAGTTCATTGATAAGTGTATTGCACGCCAACTCTAACCATTACGTTATCTTTTGCTCACACAAATTGTATGTATTGACCATTTACTTTATAGCAATAAACATCACGTCACTTTGTCATCATCTTCTCAAAGAGGGCCTTCTGAAGAACCACTTTCGCAATTCAGTGGAGAATTTCATTAGAATTGAGGACTTTCACGATGCATATTGTAAAAAACTTTTTGTTTTAAAAATTTTACCCACCTCTGGTTGCATTCATTACTTTTCAGGTCATGTTTTTACTCTTTTCGTGGAATTTTGGAAGAAAATGGATCCTCCGTCTATATTGAATTTCAATAACGTACGTATGCATTTCGAAGACATTTTGTTTCCACTACTGAGAAAGCAATCGTCCCAACTTGGAAATATACAAATTTGAAGTGAATTCTGTTTTATTACTTTTTTGACTTTTGATTCCTAATAGGTGCCAAACATTAGAGCTCTGTGATTTCTTTGTTCAATGGATTCTGTTCCGTAAATACACAGCAGAATCTTCAGTCATATCTTGTCGCATACATCCATACACCATTAAGCTGTTGTAATAATTGTGGATAGTTCCTTGAATTCAAATAAAAATGAATTCAGGTGAAGTTTATGACTGAATTAACTACGCTTTCTGAAACCTCTGAAACGTTGCGAAGTGCTGCTACAGACTTTTTCCGCTTGGTGGCTGAAAGGCATCAAGATAAGCAACGCGTTTAATTATGACATAAAGCATCATACGATATGCAAAGGAATGGTTAGTGTATGATTTAGGCCTTCGTACGTTCTTGAAGATCTGTTTCAATTATAATCGCTAACAATTTTTGGTCACCTGGAGCGGTTGAGATTCTGAAGACTAGGGAGAACTTATGGGAGAGAATTTGCTTTCTAGGGGTGGACATGATTTTCCTGAAACAGTTTTCCACATAATAGAAAAGAACGAATTTTTAATAACTTGTGATGAGAGCACGGATCGTTGGCATTAATGTGGTACGAGAATGAAGTTTACTGTTTTTAAATTTGTTGAGCTTACGTGAGGTTGATAAATATGTTTATTTCGGCTAACGTTTCTAACTCTTTGTCTTCATTAGAGCCGATGATGCGTGTCGGAGGTCCACAGTTGTTCGTTATCTCGATGGCGTCTTCGTTGTCGTACCTGACGGGATCTTCCTCAGTGTACACCGCACGAATGAGGATGCTCACCTGGCAATGTCCTTTTATGCATGGCTGTTATTGTTGATAAGACTATCCGTTGATAATAGTTTGTTTTTCAACGGATAATTCACCCTGTAGCAGTCGGTATCGATGAAGACGAAGACGTCGAAACGTTAGCCGAAATAAACATATTTATCAACCTCGTGTAAGCTCAACAAATTTACAAGCATGTTGATTATTTCACTACCAAGGTTAAATGAAGGTCGGTTTTAAAATGAAGTTTTTTTAACTTATTATTTACTGCCTACTCTTTTTAACGGCAGTGTATACATTGTGAAATATAACTTCAATGATGCTGAGATATTTGCAAAACTCCGGACCGCAGGTGTATGCGGTGGGGAGCGAATGCGCTATTGTCCTTTCCGGAGAGTTGCGCGTTCACCACCACACCACGCGGGTCCTTCGTTTCGCCTGTCTCTTAGCTAGTTCTATCGATCTCTTTTACTCTTTTAACTTTACAGCTAAGATGTGCTTGTTTAGTGTGCAAGAGCTTAACTATTGTGAATAGGTTGTGTACCAGTCACAATGTCTTCAATGTTTCAACGAAGGTATGCATTCAGTTGGTGATTAGCTCCAGAGTGAAAGTAGAAGTAGAGTGATGTAGTGGGTTAGTCTTGATCACTCTTCATATCTCAGATGTAGTGCCTGTGTGATATGCCTGATATATTCCACAACGTACTACACTAGGACATTTCCAGTAATGGTCCTTCTAAACTACATAGAAGTAAAACGTCCAGGAAACGAGTGAAGTATAAGAAGATGTTAGGAACGACTTATGAAAAGTGCTTATCTTCATTATGTAACCGGTTAAAAAATTGGCTACGGTAATGATCTAACGCGATAGTGATACCGTGTGAAATAACTACTGGATACAAGAATGGTGAAATGAACGAAAAATGGGTGCAAATGCTCAAGAATATTACTGACAAAATGTGAAAACGTGGATAGCTTACTCCAATAATTCGCGACCACAGCTGGCCACGACTTTTAGATCACTATGTGGTGGGCTCAGGAAAAAACGGATGAGAACTGTACCGTGGCCACTATTTTTCGTCAATCTTGGTTATCTAAATGTCCGACTAAAGTTGAAATTCAGGGATTACAAGAGCCGATGAAAAATTCATAGATGTTGAGTATGAGACGTCTTCGTATTGAAAATTCGAAAGAAACTAGCTTTTTTAAGGTATATGTGACGTTTAATTTCGTAGAGCGGTAATCTTTGAAGTTCAACAAATACTGTTCATGTTGATGAAGCCCTCATTAGGAAGCTAATTAATTATGTATACCTAGTGTATGATCCTACAGTTGCTCCTTATGCGATGGATATGAAGTTGTTCGTAAGGCTGCCGGAACTTGTTCCCACTGAGCTGTGCTGGGATTGTACCGCAGGCTTCCAATTGAGCCTGTACTCAAGCCATGTGGAAGTACAGAGTAGATGAACAGTTCGCAGTGAATATAAACAGGTAAAGACAATATGTGGTTCTGAAGACCATAATAAGGTATCTTCTATATCTAGCAGTACTCAATACGCGCATACCCTTAACTTAACCACTGTTAAAAACACAAAATCGTTATTTGGCTCTACCCGACACCCGTGATCACCGTGGCCTTTATTCCTCCGGGCTCAGCAAACTTATGTCAGATTTACATAAGAGAATAAGAACATTGACTCTTTAGCTCGAGGGAGCTTCTCAAGTCATTGGATAGACAAGACATACATTCACATCCCTGTACAATGATACGAATTTGGTCGAATATATAAGGCATCCCTCAGAGATTGGCAAATGCCGAACACTTCACCGTTCAATCTTTTATAGCTTCGCAGTAAACAATAGATTTTAGAGGCGGCAGCTTAACTCGTTCCTATTAAAAAGAACAAGAGAGAGACTTAAAGAACGTTCGTATCGCAAGGTATAGATAATGAAACTTACTATGGGTGCTTACCAGTCGGAAAATTCATTTCTAGATTAGCAACTAATTCCTTCGAACTTATTGTTAAAGCTTCTTAACGCATACTGTATTCAGGAGAAAGATTTTGACAACGAGAAATTGCAACCGAATGTATTTCAATCATCAGTTATTGAAAGATTCCATATATATATATATATATATATATATATATATATATATAT